CCGTCATCCATTTTTTATTTAGAGGAGGAAAGCGGACGGAAGAGGACGCCAGGGCGGCAGAAGCTTGGTTTGGTGTAGAAGGCTTCCAGCCGTCCATGTTTGAGCCCTTGCCTCGCAACGCTGCCAGTTCTGTTAGCTCTACGCCTGCTGAAGATACAGACGTCCATCCCCGTGAACACTGGGACGCAACTCAATGGGAAAGGAAAGGATTCTAATTTCTGATTTCAACCGTTGCGTATATTAGCTGCGACACATGAAGATGCTGTGACCGAAAAAATTTGATTGACAGATGAGCGTTTATATATGACTGGCCGAATTTAGGTGTACAAGCTGACGTAGAACTAACTGGCCTGCAGAAGATAACGGAAAAAAACCCCACAGAAGGTGGGAAGACAGGATATTTTCAGAAATTTTCTAACTTTTGGGACAATATAGTCTGATAAAGAGTACATTTATGTACATGTTTAAGGCAGAATGATTTGACATTTAAATATGACTTCCCTGCAACTTTAAATAAAGACATCAGTACGATTAAAAATTAATCTTTTTAGTGACAGAAGTCGTTCCGGTCTCGGTCTGTCATGATATTTGTCAGATTTCTTTAAGATCTGAACCAGGTGAACTCAGCCAGCATGTGGCATCCAGCTCACCTTGCTGCCTGCTGCTGAGGGAGAGAGGCTGTAAGGGCTGCTCTTCACCATCTGGACCTGCAGCTGGAAATAAATCACAAACGTTGATATGGATTAGATGAAACCTTAGACGCCTAAGATTGTTTAAACACAACATCAACCACTTATCATAAAGCAGCAGGATTCATTCTGACTCCATCATATCATTTATTATTGGTGTAAATCTCTAAATGTGCATCTGGACATTAGGAAAACCATGAAAACCCACCTGGTCATCAGGGCTGTTTCTGTCAGAGTCTGAAAAACAGAAAAACAGATGATTATCAGGCTGCATCAAACAGAATATCCATCAGTTCATATAGTTAGTGTGGGATATTGACCAGAATAAGGAGTCTAAATTCTACTTAGGGAAAATGCAGCGATAAGTTATTTATAATTTTAACTACATATGTTGGCTTTAGAAAATTTGAAAACATGCGCCTCATTTTTTAAATCATATAAAATAAAAAATTTTCTGCTGCTATCATCACCAGCAAACATTAAAAAGACTCCACGGCCATTATATGATTAAAAAAAAACGTGTCTTTTACCTTCATGAATATTAAACTTCTTCTAAATTTAATTTGAATAGCATTCACACAAACCCTCTAACTGTCTGTGAAAAGATCCAAACAAACCGTCTGATTTTTGTTGTGCAGGAAAAGTTAACTGTAATTCAATGCAGAATGTGACACCTTCCACAGGGAAAAGTAGAAAAGTTTGAAAGGAGAAAAAATACAAGTTACTTTACTTCCTGTTCAGGTTTTTATTACATTTAGAGCAAAAATCTGCTACTAATACTGAAGGAACCTATTAATGGTTGAGTCACCCTCTAAAAAAATAAATACTACTTCTTCCTCAAAAACTTCTTTTTTACAGACTTAAAAACTTCTAAAGACGAGGGAAAAATATTGATCCATTAAAATATCCCAATATCTTCACATGCTGATATATTGCCATTTAAAAACACCATATCAATCTCTTTTACTAATGAAATATTGCTATATGTCATCGTTATGCTACGAAATCCCCCGGAAATTCACGAAATTTTGCCATATTTTTATATGTTGATATATTGACGCGGTATCGATCTATTTTACTAACAAAATCTCACAAGAATTTGCAAAATATCACGAGAGTTTGTAACAGAACGATGAAATTTCACGAGATTTTTAAAGTAAAATAGATCGATACCGCGTTTTTAAAAATCTATTTGATATCAGCATATGAAAATATATTTGAGTATATTATTTTTCAAAGTGTCAGAAATGGATAACAAAACTGCTATTTTCAATGACTACTTATTTTTGTCCAGCTTTAACATCGGTATCGATATCGGTTATCGGCTACATGAGTTTTAAAATATCGGCATATCGGATATCGGCCAAAATCCCAATATCGTGCATCCCTATTTAGAAGATTTGTTTCCTGAAGTATTTATGAAAGAAGTGCTGCAATGCTTGGAAAGAAGCAGCATGGCTGTTTAATCCATGCAGCTGGGAGGAAGTTAGCAGCTCAGTAGGACGGTCAGCTCAGTTACCGGCCAACGCTTTGACCTGGAACAGGAGCTGGAGGACAGAACTGTTGGACGATGTCTCCCGTCCCAAAGTTAAAAACATCCTCCACTCCATTCATGAAGCTGTTTCAGCGACTTGCAGCTGTACACTGAAAAAAATCCAAATCTAGATAAGTCATTTTTTCTTCAAATAAGTGCATTTATTCTTGAATTAAGGAGGTAAAAGAGACATTTTGCCAATGGAACAAGATAATTTCCATTTAGAATAAGAAAACACTATTGCATTGTCTTATTTCCAGTGCATTTTATCTAATTATCTTACTTTAAGAGTTAAAATACTCATTCCATTGGGAAACTTTCTCATTTACCTACTCAAATTAATGATAAATACACTTAATTTAAGAAATGTATTACTTATTTTTAGATCATTTTTGCAAAAACGATCTAGAAATAAGTAAAAATGTCCTTAATTAAGTGTATTCACCCTTAATTTGAGTAGGTAAATGAGAAAGTTTCCCAATGGAATGAGTAATTTTACTTTTAAAATAAGATAATTACATAAATATGTACTTGAAATAAGACAATGCAATTGTGTTTTCTTAGTTTAAGTGTAAATTATCTGGTTCCATTGACAGAATGTCTCTTTTACCTCCTTAATTCAAGAATAAATGCACTTATTTTAAGAAAAAAAATGACTTGGGCTGTTAGACCTTAGAACCATTATTGCTGGTAAGTTGTCTACAATAATTACATTTTTCTCTCCTATTTTCTTATAAATAGCCGACTGTTGTTATTTTTTGCACAAATGTGTGTTTTATTTTTCTAGTTAAATTTTTTGTTCATTAGATCCGAGCATACAGTTTTTATTTTTCTACTTTTCCTTTAATTGCTGATTAAAATACCTACATTTCCCCACTTTAGAACAATACATGGTGATTTTATTCTTGATATTAGCTGTTGAATAAACATAAGGAATAAAGCAATTACCTGTATATCACCTCTACATTAAGGAAATAATAGGATGTGTTATTCTATAAGTCATTTTTAGTGCATAGATTTTAGTTCCTGCAACGGTTTGCTTTATACCTGAACTGTCACCTGGATATTCAGCTCCAGGCTTCTCCTCCCCCGGTGCTTTGGACATCCTGATATCTGCAAAAAAAGAACACAGACCAGTCAGAGGAAATAAGAACAAAAATATGATTAACGTCAAAATCCTGTAATACCTAAAAACAAACCAAAAATGTATAAATGTAAAAAAAAAAAGAAAGAAAAAGGACTATCTACATTTACATTGTTAAACTTTTTTAGAGCAGCATCAAAATAAATTTAGTATATAATGATATATAATGTAATTAATCATATGCATTTTCTCTAAATAAACAATAGTGATACAGATAAATATCAATTGATCAAAAAATATGTAAGAAGATGGATCAAATTTCTTCTAAACATCAGCAACTCTCTTGCAGATTGTCCTCCAAGTTGGTTTAAAAACAAGCCAATGTGCATCTGAACTTTCCTACAGTATATTTAAAGTGCCTGAACATTTGATTTGAATTAATCTGAAATCAGTTGAGATTTAAACCTCCCTCCGAAGTGCAGCAAATGTTTCAGAAGTGAGTCCATGTAAATGTGCAGAGTTTGTTGGACAGAAGCAGCAAACGGATTACAAATATGGTTTTCCTGGCAGGAAATGTTCCTGTTTCCTAAACTTTCCGCTTCTTCTTTTTTGTTCGTGGTCACATCTGGGACTGCAGCAGTAATTGGACCCGGAAGAACTGCAGAAACTGCTTAGCTGAGCACCAGACATTAATCAGCACCACCATGCAACATAAAACACTTCATCGCTCTTAACTTCTGTCCTTCTTATACCTTTAAAATATATTTATTTATATAGTTTAAGCCTAAAACTATTTGTATTTTAATTGAATGTAGATGAAGGTGAAATGTTAGCTCTGATATAAACAAATAAAACAAAAAAATATCAGCATAATAACCATTAAAAACAAAGCTATTCTTTTTTTTCTTTAGAGACAAAGGGAAATGACCCACCGTCACCCTAATTTAAAAAAACAAAAACAAAAAAAAAACAACATAAAAAGGAGTTTTACATTTCTGCCACAGCCTGAAAAACACACGTTAGTTTAGAAAAACTGTTGAATAATATAAATATCAAACGTGTCCTGCCTGTGTTTTCTAAAATAGCATTTTCTTCAATCAGGTCAGTGAAAGGTTCAAGGTAAAAGAAACATGTTTGAGAAAGATAAAGACGAGTGAAGAAAAAAGATGGATGATAAAAATTATATAATGAAATCAATCTATTTACCGTAAGTTTTTATATTTTATTTTTCTAATATGAGAAAATGTAAATTAAATAATATAAACATTTTAAAAATGATTCTTATTTAAAGCAGGTATTTGTTCAGCAGAGGCCAAAAGCAGCCGATTGAGCCGGTTTGAAATCTACAGTTACACAATCCCACCAGAAGGTGGCAGCATTGTCTCAGAATTGATCAGGTAGAGTTTCTGTTTTGATCAAACAAGCCGCTCAAGAAATAAAAAAAGGTTGTCTTAGATTAATTCATAGTAATTTTTATCTTATAGAGCAGAATAACTGGTTTTTTGATATCTGAATAAATCATTTTTTATTTATTATAAAACATAAAAACTCTTAAATCAACAAATATGTTAAAAAAAGGCAAAAATTCAGCCTTTCTTACTCCATCAGTTTTTTTATACAAGGAAAAATGCTAATAGTGATAAAATGAAACCTGATAAAAATTTTAAGTTGTTACAGATTAATATGAACAAAAAAAAAAAAAAACTATATATATAAGGTTTTCTTTAATTTCCCATATTGTTTTATGAAGTTACACTTCTGCCAAACATGTAAATCGATCACCCCCACTTCTGTGTGTGATTACAAAACAAAATACTATTGATTTTATGATTAAGTTAATTTTAACCAACCATTTCCATAGCAGCTTCAATTTTAGGACTAAATAAGGTGTTTTTTTTGTCATACTTTCCCTCTGCAGACTAGAAAAATCCTCATCATTTGTTTCTGCCTCTAACTCATCAGACTGTGTGGTCTTGGAAAAGCCTTCCTCATCCATCCTTCCATCCTGATCCCAGATGTCCATCTGCCACGGATCCATTATCAGGTTTCAGCACAAACTGTTCGACCGTTTTTCATTGAACAAACTGGGATGGCTTTGAATCTGTGTTGAGTTTCAGTTTTGATCCATTTCTGGTTGTTTTATCTGAACGCAAACTCCTCCAATCTAGAACACACACACCCAGTGGGGGGGGTCAGATGATGTATGTGTCCTGCAGCACTGGGATGTCCAGCGCGGCTCTATGTTGTAGTAGAAGGGCTGGTGGTGGTGGGGGTCCTAAACTCAGCGGCCTTTCCTCTCCCTCCTTTCTGCCCACCCACCCCGCCTCGGTCACGCCTGTCAGGGGCCGGTGACAGACGGCGCGTGGGTTTGTATGGATGGACTGGGGTGGGGGGTGTAGCTGGAGCTGTTTGGCGTGTGGAGGTCAAAGGTCAGGCACATGGCCCCTGCCACCACACTCTGTACACATCGGCTGTCTCCCGTTTCCACCTGCCCCCTCCTCCCCGTCATGTAACATTCAGCGGAGAGAAAACCTCAGCGAAGGAAAGGAAACTTTGCAACTTTATTACACTTTATTATATTATATAACGTGTGGGAAATAAATAGTGATTTTAAACCTTTTAAAGCACATTTTCTCTTAAAAAGATTAGAAAAATGCAATATACTGAAAAAAACTACATGTATTTAGATAAATCATGCTCCTCTTAAAATAAATCTTATTTTTTAAATATAAAATGTATCTTGTTAGCATAATTTAGATTGCATCAGGAAGAGAAAGTTGAAATAAAGTAAAAAAATTAATGTTCAACATTTTCTTAATTCAATCAAATTGTAATAAGTTGTGAAACATTTATGAAAAAGCACCGATAAAAATCTGCAGCAGTAATTTATTTACCTTTTTTCTTTTATTTTGATAAAGCTGAAAAAGTCTTAATAATGAACGGTTCTAAAATCTAAATCTTTCTAATTAAAAGGGTTTAAAACAGCATAAATATTTTAAATGTAAATTTTCTTTATACGGATTTATGTCTGTTTGTGGCCTTTTATCCTGCAGACCTGCTAAAAGCAGGATGTTTAGTTCTTCTCGTTTTACCGAGCATATTTGGTTGGTAAACACAGAAAGATGACGCAAACGTTTGTTTGGATGTAAATCATTCACACTGAAACTGACTACACTACAAAAACGATCTAGAAATACGTGAAAAATTCCTTAAATAAGTGTATTCACCCTTGATTTGAGTAGGTAAATGAGATAGTTTGCCAATGGAATGAGTATTTTACTTACTCAAATAAGATAATTAGATAATATGCACCTAAAATAAAACAATGCAATAGTGTTTTCTTATTTTAAGTGTAAATTGTCTTGTTCCATTGGCAGAATGTCTCTTTTACCTCCTTAATTCAAGAATAAATGCAATTATTTTAAGAAAAAAATGACTTATCTAGATTTAGATTTTTTGCAGTGTTGTTTATCTAGACTGAATTAAATTATATTTTAGCAGATGATGCACATAAAATTGTCGATCAGCAGGAAGATAAATATTTTTAGCTCCTGATATCATAATAATTACCAATAATCAGATTATTTATTTATTTTTTTTCTCAGCTGATTCAATGCTGCCCTGATTTCCTGCAGATAACATCCTAAGCTGTTGGTTTTGGTAAAACTAATTAAAAAATAAAATTATAAAATAATAAAAAGCCTGTGGATTGTTGTCAGATGGGCAGTCTGACCTATAATCCAGATTAACATGAACTATTTCAACATTTGATCCTTCTGTTCATCCAGAGGAGCAACATGATCAGTTTGACCTCTCTTTAATATTCATTATTCCATTTCACCCTTTGTAGTTTTAATATGTTTAATAACAGCTGCCTTACCTTCCATACAATCCTCTCCTTGGTTTAATGAATGTAAATAAATAAACCTACATTTGAGTTTAAAAAATAAAGAGCTCTAATATGTGCAAACAGTGAAGTTTTCCAGTCCAGAAATGTACCTTTAAAACTGGCTGAAGGTTTGATTCCCTACATTTGAACGTGTCTTTGGGCAAAGTGTCTGCGTTCATGTTTCAGTCTGTGAAATATTTAGTGCATTGTTGTTAGGTTATAAAAGTAGAACTCTGATGGAAATTAGGTAGAAAAACGTCATTATTTAGGTAAAAGACAGATTTGTTAACTTAAAAACACTGCAGTAATTGAAGCATTAGAAATCTGAAACTTAATAAATCTCTGCGTTAATTTAAAGGGATCTTTTCTGGTTTGATTTCCATCAGTTATTCAGGCCTTTCTTCTCTAATCTAACGGCCTCGGTTCTGCTCTCCGTCTCGCCGGCCTCCGGTTCCGTCTCCGCCTTTCCTTACTTTGACAGATTAGCTTTGGTTTTGCCATCAGGCTTTTGCCGTCAAGGTAAACCGGATTATTTCTGCCTCTGAGAAACATTTGTATCATTACAGCCACAGTTAGTGTCTCTCTCCGCCTCTGACTTCTAATTTTTTCCCACTTTTTCAAACAGTTCCTCCCACACCCCTCGTCCTTCCCCTGCAGCGGTGGTCAGCGGCGGCGGTCGTGGCGCCGCCGGACAGTGTTAACGCAGGACACACGGCCCCCGTTGCCAGGCAACAGCGGTGCAAAATGGTTGTGTTTGTGTGCATGTGTGCGAGCGGGGGCTTGTGCTCAGATGTGTGTGCACCTGTGAGAGTGTTAATCATTAAGAATAAGCATGTTTCTCTGCCTGAAGGTGTCGAAGTGGAGCAAACAAAGTCCTGCATGCTAATGTCTGCTGCTCTCACCTGAGCAGGAGGATTTATCTGCTTCACATTTATTTTCAGTCACAAGAAAACAAAGCATCTCTTCAGTTTGCAGTTACAAAAAAGTAAACATATAAAACAGGTATGTGGGTAAATGGATTTATTGGGGCGGTTTAAAAACCCCGATTCCTTCTTTTGAAGGCCTAAAGTGGAAAAGCATCTCATTTGAAGGAGTCTGATGGGAGATCAGCAGGTAAAACTGTAAAATCAGACATGATTT